TTAGGGTTCAGGGTTTAGGGGTTCTATAATAGGGCTCCCTTTAAGGCCTAGGGTTTGGAATTTGTGGTTTGGGCTTTAAGGGTTGAGGGGGTTTGGGGTTTTGGGGGTTAGGTTTAGGGATTTAGAGTTTCGGGGTCGAGGGGTTCAGGCTTCATGTGTTGAGAGGGGGGGTAGGGTGTAGGGGTTCACGTTTGAGAAAGCTACCAGAAAAGCGATGTAGTAAGCTACAGTACCAGCTGCGAAGTACGCTAGAGTTGGAGTTCCTTAACTAGCAACACTACATGAGACCTCGCTTCAAGCCCCTATGGAACCATGTAGGGCTCTATTTCCTGAGCCCGAAGCCCCCGAACCCCAAACCCCTAAACCGCAAACCATATAAGCCCGAAACCCCTAAACCCTTACTGTAACCCCTAAAGCCCTAAACCCCTAAAAACTAAAAAATAAGTTTCGCCCAGGTGTGGACCAACATGTTCAAGGATCCCAGAACCTGGAGGCGCTGCCACGGCGAAGGGATGGAGTTAAGAGTTTACCTTTAGGGTTTAGCGGTTTATAGGGTTTAGGGATAGGACATCACCAGGGTTCGGGGTTTAGGGGATATATGGTTTACGGTTGGTCCGAATGCCTATGCATGGTTGTATTCATGCCCCCCCCCCTCTCCACGCGCACCCAATTTCACCTCAGCACAAACCGGGTCCATGTTATCAGAAACCACCCTGCACCCTAAGTCCCAAAGCTTGATGCTGCATGCAGGCCTTAGGATTTCAAGTGCCCACGGAAGATGATGATGATGATGATGATGATGATGATGGTGATTATGATGGTGATGATGATGGTGATGTTGATACTGATGATGACGATGACGATGACAATTGATGATGTTGATGATGATGGTGATGACTAGTTAGTAAGTTAGTAATAGTATCTTTTGTTCGTCGGGTTTGGGGCCAAAGCTTTGTCAAGCTTGTATTTTGGGTGGTTAAAGTAGGCTTTGTCACTCGCCCCTACATCCCACCCCGGACCCTAGACCCTCAACCCTGAACCCGAAACCCTGAACCCTAAGCCCTAAACCTAAACCCGGAATCCTAAACCCTAAACCCTAAACCCTGAACCCTATCTCCCTTCTCTTCGCTGAGGGCCCATGTTCCTTTATTTTGGAGCGTGGGGATCCCTTTTGCAGGTGCTGCTCAGGGTAGGGGCCTTAATAATTAGGTTTGGGGTTTTGGGCCACCCTGAAAGGGCTCCTTCAAAGGGTTCTATGAGGGCGACCATAAGGGATATAAGGGTTCAGGGTGTCGAGGCCTTAAGAATTAGGTTCGGGGTTTAAGGGTTTAGGCTTAAGGGTTTAGGGTTTAGGGGGCTTGATAATAATCAGAATAGGGTTTTGGGGGCTCCTTATGATAATTATTGTATAACCTACCCTAAACCCTATCCTAATTATTAAGGATCCTATACTAAAGCCGAGGGTCAGCATTTTCAGGGCGTGCGACAAGCTGACGCGGTAACCCTAAACCCTAAACCCTAAATCCTAAATCCTAAACCTAAACCCTAAATAAACCCTAAACCCTAAACCTAAAACCTAAATAAACCCTAAATCCTAAACCTAAACCCTAAATAAACCTTAAATCCTAAACCTAAACCCTAAATAAACCCTAAATCCTAAACCTAAACTACTTGAAGGTGCGGATATCAGGATTCTGGGTCTAGAGCGGTGCCTGGAAGGTCCTACCCTGCCCTTTTGTCGGTGCCGAGGTTTGTGGTTACCTATAGTCTCCATTTTAGGGTTTGGGAGTTTAGGGGTTAGGAGTTTAGGGGTTTAGGGTTTAGGGGTTTAGGGTTTAGGGTTTAGGGTTTTAGGGTTTTAGGGTTCAGGGTTTAAGGTTTACCTATAGTCTCCATTGTAGTTCCTTTTTTTGTGTTTAACCAAATATATAGTATGGATTTTATAAGGTATCCCCAAAAAGGAACTACAATGGAGACCATAGGTAGGAGCTGTTACCTAGAAAAGTAGGTACCCCGAAACCTAACCCCCAAGCCCTAAACCCCAAGCCCTAACCCTAAACCCCTAAACCCTCTCCTTCGTATATATATATATATATATTAATATATATATATATATATTTAAACCCTGTTGGATTTCGTGGACTTTGAAAGTTTTTTTCAAAGTCCACGGGATTTCGTTGACTTTGAAAGTTTTTTTCAAAGTCCACGGGTTTCTGGCCAGTTTTTTTTCAAAGTCCACGGGTTTTTGGACAGTTTTTTTCAATGTCCACGGGTTTTTTGGCCTTTCGTGGACTTTGAAAAAACCGTTCAAAGTCCACGAACTGAGCTGCCAGTTTTTTTCAAAGTCCACGAACTGAGTTGCAAGTTTTTTTCAAAGTCCACGGGTTTCTGGCCAGTTTTTTTTCAAAGTCCACTGGTTTTTGGCCAGTTTTTTCAATGTCCACGGGTTTTTGGCCAGTTTTTTTTTTCAAAGTCCACGGGTTTTTGGCCAGTTTTCTTTTCAAAGTCCACGGGTTTTTGGCCAGTTTTTTTTCAAAGTCCACG